ACAACTATACGCACTATACGTACTGTACGTACTGTACGCGAAAAAAAATCGGGTATCATATAAATGGCACATCACTATATAAGATATATGGCATATCTGCCATAAATGTATATAAATTTATATTATAAATAAAGGCCGTGTTAGTCCGTAGAGGATGATAACTCCCAAGTTCGCTTTTATAAACAATGGAGTTCTTTATTAAATAATTCCTACTACCCAACCCACACTTTCCTTAATTACCCCTCCCGATATTCTACTAAGTGGCATAGTAGAATTATCTTCACGAAGCACATAGATTAATTCATGATTACCGTACCCCCCGAAGTGATAATTTGAGCACTCCCTTAGTAGTAGGAAAGACGACCTAAGCTTTAGAACATCCACCTGCCAAATCTAACCGCCTCTTTCGATATGGTCGTCTAGTTGCTGATCAATTAAAAGATCGGTTTGGCCCCGATGACCAAACCGCCCTGTCAACGATTGATAATTGTAGATCATTCTTTTTATGGAAAGATAACGTAGCGAGTGTTACTTAACGCTAATGTTTTCTTTGTGAAACAACCTATTTAACCTAATTAGATATACTGTTTGGAACATAAATAAACAATCCCGTTTAGGTAAAATTTTCATTCTGCTATCCCACGAGTTGTTCAATAAAAATACAGTATAAAAATTTCGGTAATTCTTTATTTTCAGATAATCATTTAGTAGAATGAATATGGCGGATAATAAAAAAAAATATAAAGATCAGAAATACACTAGGTATGAATTTATGTTATTGTAATTCGTTAGTCTTTTAAGATTCACTGCAAATATTAAAATTCCGATTAATTATAGCGGACATGCAAAATCAGAAAAAAAAAGACGTGATGAAATGAAAAACCGTCTCGAAGATCTCCGTGAGCTTCTCTCCTCTACGCCCTATGCAAGTGGCAACGCGCCTAAAGTAGAATTACTGCAAAATGGTAACATATTAACTTTCAATTTGAAATTAGCTGATTCATTATCAATCCCGTAAATGAAAATTCAAAGTCCCGACAGCTAAACAATAGCTATCCCTCTATAAGTGCACACACTTTTCCAATAGTCGTACATAGTGATGTGCCATTTAGATTTTTTTAGCGTACAGTACGTACAGTACGTACAGTACGTACAGTACGTATAGTACGTATATTAGGATTTTTTTTATACCATAGTTTCGGAATATT